GTGAGGCAGTGACGGTGAGAGTGGGGGCGGTGAGGCAGTGACGGTGAGAGTGGGGCGGTGTGGCAGTGATGGTGAGAGTGGGGCCGGTGAGGCAGTGATGGTGAGAGGGGGGACAGTGAGGCAGTGACGGTGAGAGCGGGGACAGTGAGGCAGTGACGGTGAGAGCGGGGCCGGTGAGGCAGTGACGGTGAGAGTGGGGCCGGTGAGGCAGTGACGGTGAGAGGGGTGACGGTGAGGCAGTGACGGTGAGAGTGGGGCCGGTGAGGCAGTGACAGTGAGAGTGGGGCCGGTGAGGCAGTGAGAGTGAGAGCGGGACAGTGAGGCAGTGATGGTGAGAGTGGGGCCGGTGAGGCAGTGATGGTGAGAGGGGGATGGTGAGGCAGTGACGGTGAGAGGGGCACGGTGAGGCAGTGACAGTGAGAGGGGGACGGTGAGGCAGTGACGGTAGGAGGGGGACGGTGAGGCAGTGACAGTGAAACTGGGGACGGTGAGGCAGTGACGGTGAGAGGGGGGACGTTGAGGCAGTGACGGTGAGGCGGGGGACGGTGAGGCAGTGATGGTGAGAGTGGGTTTGGTGAGGCAGTGACTGTGAGACCGGGGCCCAGTGAGGTAGTGACAGTGAGAGGGGGTCGGTGAGGCAGTGACGGTGAGAGCGGGGACGGTGAGGCAGTGAGAGTGAGAGCGGGCGGTGAGGCAGTGACGGTGAGAGCGGGGCCCGGTGAAGCAGTGAGAGTGAGAGTGGGGTGGTGAGGCAGTGAGAGTGAGAGCGGGGCCCGGTGAGGCAGTGAGAATGAGAGTGTGGCGGTGAGGCAGTGAGAGTGAGAGCGGGGCCCGGTGAGGCAGCGGCGGGGAGAGTGGGGACGGTGAGGCGGGGACGGTGAGGCAGTGACGGTGAGAGTGGGGCGGTGAGGCAGTGATGGTGAGAGTGGGGACGGTGAGGCAGTGACGGTGAGAGTGGGGCGGTGAGGTAATGACGGTGAGAGTGGGGCGGTGAGGTAATGACGGTGAGAGTGGGGACGGTGAGGCAGTGACAGTGAGAGTGGGGCGGTGAGGCAGTGACGGTGAGAGTGGGGTGGTGAGGCAGTGATGGTGAGAGCGGGGACGGTAAGGCAGTGACAGTGAGAGTGGCGCCCGGTGAGGCAGCGGCGGTGAGAGGGGGGACGGTGTGACAGTGAAAGTTAGAGCCGGGCCCGGTGAGGCAGCGGCAGTGAGAGGGGGGCCCGGTGAGGCAGCGGCGGGGAGAGTGGGGCACTGGCGGAGGCATGGTGAGGGCTGGGAAGACCAGACCGGGACTGTGGAAGTGGAAAGCAAAGTTGGACTCTCAAGTTATCTTTTTTTTATTATCCTATTGTAAGTTAATGTGAATGGTGCCATGTATGTACAGCGAAGGTACTCACTTTCCACTGTATCTTTACATTGAATACATGTGACAATAAATGATTCAATTCAATTCAAAGCTAGTGTTTATTGTTAGCTATAAATTGTTCTTGGGAAAGTAACAAAACAACTGGAAGTTGACTAGGGCATAGCAGAGGGCAGAATCAAAAACGTTTGTGCTGGACTGCCCAGAGGGAAAAAAAAACATCAGTTTGAAAAAAAAAGTAAGACTTAGAGCTGAGTGCAGTATTCGTACTGGAGATCCCTTTGAAGTAAGCAGGACAAATTGGACCAGAATGTCTCATTCACCAGTTTTACAAATCTTTTCTTACCTACTGTTTGGAGTCACATGTAGGCCAGACCAGGCAAGGACAGTAGCTATCCTTCCCTAAAGAACATATAGGAACCAGATGGGAATTTAATCTCAGTCCAACACTGTAAAGATCACTTTTACTGATGCAACACAATTTTCATTTTTAATACAGCTCACGTGTGGTAAATTGTCTCAAAGCATTCCTGATGACCATTACAAAAGATATTTTGCTGCACATTAAGGTCGGTAACAGAAAGATTGGTCACAGGGTTAGTATTGAAGAAACATTTTAAAGGAGGAGAGAGGTGGGAGGTGGGGGAAGTTTGGGGTGGGATCTCCACAGTTTCGGAGCTTGGCAGTGGATGATATGGGCACCAGGCATGAAGCAGTTAAAATCTGGCATTCTCAAGGGGCCAGAGTTAGAGGAATGCAGTCACCCCAAAACGTTGTGAGGTAGGAGGAGGTTACAGAAATAGGGAAGGGGTAAGGCCGAGGTGTGCCTCGAGAGCAAAAATGAGCATTTTAGAATCAAACCATTGTTGAGCCTGGAGCCACTGAGGCATGATCGGGGAATGAGAGCTGATCAGAATGAAGATGTGAGGCAGCAGAAATTTGGATGAGCTGAAGTTTGTGGAGTGTGGAAGTTTGGGAACCAGCCAGGAGGACATGGGAATGGGTAAAAAAAGACTGAGCATATGAATCAGGAGCAGGAGGAGGTCACTCACTAGTACAATCGGCCCCCTCCCACTACCTTGAATGCATGCACCCTCCCCATCCACCAGCACATCTGTGTCCCTATTCGCAAAATGATGTGCCATAAGAAGTGGGCTATTCAGCCTCCTGAGTCTGTTTTGCCATTCATTGAGATCATGGCTGATCTGATCATCCTCAACTCCACTTTTCCCTCACAACAATAACAAGTTTCCACTTTTCCCTCAATTTGTCTCTGCGCAATATATCATTGGGGGGGGGGGTGGGGGAGAAGTAATTGACAGGAACTGTGCAGGGTAGTGCAGTATCCCTGCCTCTGGGTCAAGAGACCCAGTTTCAAATCCCAACTACTCCAGAGGCATGTAAGAACATCTCTGAACAGATGAATCAGGGAGAAAAGAGTTAGGCTTTAAAGCTGTTTTAAATGGAATCCCCTGGACGTGCTCAGAGTGGGCAATTCTTTCTGCATTTGGTGCATGGGAGAATACGATGAGCCATGGGAGCACCATGCAAAGGTATTAAGGTGAATTTCGGAAGATGCAAAAACAGAAATTGCTGGAAAAGCTCAGCCGGTCTGGCTGCATCTATGGAGAGAATTTGAGAGATAATGTTGTGGGTCAAATGACCCTTCCTCGAAACTTTGGGCAGTTAGAAGTTTGGGAAAATAGTGTGAGAAAATTCACGAGTGGTTGAGGGGAGAAACCCTCCAAGGTCCTCATAAAAATTAACACAACTGATTTTTTTTTGTTTTGGTAAAACCATGCTACTAGTGGAGAGAGTTTGAAGATTGTGACTTTAGTCTTCCATTGGTTATTTTGGAGGAATTTTCTGCTGTTCTGGATGGTGGGCAGTCTAAAAATCCCAGAATGGGGAGAGGTGCAGAGCTGAGTATGGTTAGGGGTAACCTGTAGAAAATTGGGGATAACACAGTGTGGGGCTGGAGGAACACAGCAGGCCACGCAGCATCAGAGGAGCAGGAAAGTTGACATTTCGGATCGGGACCCTTCTTCAGAAATGAGAAGAAGCTTTCTGAAGAAGGGTCCCGATCCGAAACATCAGCTTTCCTGCCCCTCTGATGCTGCCTGGCCTGCTGTGTTCATCCAGCTCCACACTGTGTTATCCCCTGCCTCCAGCATCTGCAGTTCTTGCTATCTCTGTAGAAAATTGGCCTTCGTTTTCAGACAGTTACAGTAAGTGACAAAACAAGGAACATGCCCAGAAGAAGGAATTCAAATTCTCTAAGGGCCATTTTTTGGACGTGAACTCTCATCCTATGGGCGATGAATCAAAGATTGGGAACATGGAGCGGAGGCCTTGGTAAACTGGAAAGTTGATGATTGAATTCCAGGGAAGAGGAGCAAATCCCAAAGCTCACCAAAAATAGCAGGATTCTTCCGTTTGGAAACAAATGTGGATTCACTTATAGTTGACAAAAAAAATCCTATCTGGATCCGTGCCCAGGTTTTTGTGTGCGTGTGGGGAGGGGGAGGGTGGTGAAAACCATTCCAAATTGGCATCGGGAAATTCCGCACGGCGAATAGCCTTACCCCCATGAAGGCTTCACAACTTGGAAGCATACTTCGGTACGACAATATAAATACGCGATTTAAAAAAAAATTCAAGCTTGTCATTAAAGTTCTGACAAAACAGTTTCCTACGTTGAGCTGTGACCATTGAGTGCTCTCCCTTCCCAGCTGTGTGAAATACAACTCAGCGGCTCTAGGCTGGAACTGGGAGAGGGTGAGTCAGGAACTTGTGTCGATGCTGGGTCAAATAGGCTTTCGCTAAAGCTGTTTTTTTTAGGCTTAACGTGAGTCGGCAGCGGTGTGTAAATTTTCCCAAGCAGAACTTGTCGCTTTCCTCTTGTTTAATAACCCCCATCTCTTGTCCCGAAGACTTTCACTTCCTATCTCCTGTGCAGTTCTCTCTGTGTGTGTGTGTGTGTGTGTGTGAATTTACCAGGCTCTTCCTCCTAAATGTTTCTGAATGCAAACTCCCTGGGGTAGACAGAGAGAAAAAGGAAGGGGGGGGGGGAGACTTCACAGCGTCTCATTGGTTGAGACTGTTGAACCCAATTTAAGACCGTTGACAAAGATACATAGAGAGAGAGCAAGACCGCTTTCTGTATCTGCAGAGCGAGATAGCAGGTTCTTCTGACCACGGGCTTGGTGTAAATTACCCAGCCCATCTTTTAGACGTTAAACGCCGTTTGTCTGCCCCTCTCTCTCTCTCTCTTTGTGTGTGTGTGTGTGTGTTTATGTGGGAGGGGAACGTGTGTGGACCTCCCTCTCTTGGATCTACTCTCATCATCCCTCTCTCTCTCTCTCTCTCTCTCTCTCTCTCCCTGTCTCTCTTTAGTCCTGAGTATTGAAGTGCGGCTCGGAGGCAGAGTAGTATAGCTGTAGCGTTGACGGTTCCTTGTGGCGAATTCTTTTCAAAAGCAACATAAAATGCATCTCCTCTGCACGGCTGTGTGAACACATTCCAGCATATTACCACGCAAAGAAAAGAGAGAGAGAGAGAAACATCCCGTGCAGTTAATGAGGATTTGCTAACTGCTTTTTATACAATCAGTTGACAACGAGTAACTGAAGCTGATCTCTTTTTAAGGTAGGATTCGTTTAAAAAATATGTATGTATAAACATAAATTCGTGGTAGTGTGCAGAAGATTTTGGAATGATTTGTTAGTAATGTAATCCATGTCGGTTTCGTTTTAAATTGAAAACAGAAAGGCTACACTGAATATGGGAAAAATTTTGTGGTTGAATGAAAAATGATTCCTCTTGAATAACCATAATATGAAAACCAATTGTGTTTTTTTTTCTCTTTTACATGTTTAGACAATGAAAGAAACACGCACACATACACACGACACAGAGGCTATGCTATTGCATCTCACCATTTCTGTTCTGATGAATCTCGCCGGGACTACAGCGGAATTTTTAGCAGGCAGCTGAGCAATTTCAATCCGCTATAGCGGGACTGGGACCCTGCCTTCCAAATCCTCCACCCCCTCCGCCCCCCCCCCCCCCCCCCCCATCTGCGCCGGGGTTTGGGGGGAGGGAAGTGAAAATGTAGGAATGAAATGTCAAATTGGTCCCATTTTAAACGTTTCTTGTTTGGAAGGTGCGTAGTGGAGGATCTGTGTAGCTAACCCATGAAAGGGTCAATTGTCTACAGTAAATACATATTCGATCAGTTGTGTTTTGGGGTGTGTGTGCGTGAGAGAGAGGGTTATGGGGTCGAACTCTGTTTTGATTCGAAACAATCAATTGCTGTTGTCGACAGAGGTTTGGGCAAAGTTGGGAGCCTAATAATCGCCTCCATTGGAACCAAAGTGCCCTCGATTACTGAGAAATTGTGCGGGGCTTTCGCTGACTGTGAGTGAGTTTTGTACACAGAACCAAAATAGAGTTGGCGGGGAGATTATTTTTTTTTTTGTTTTTGCTGGTTAAATGTCAAATTAAGGTTTAAATCCGGAAAATAGACTGATAAAGGTAATTGAGGTGACAAATTTAGCAAATTGATCAGACCAATTCACTGAGGAAATATGAATGGACAGGATTTGAGAAAAGGAAACGGTAAAAGGAACAGATGCTTGAGGAACACATTTTTGACAGGGGTACCGGTAAATGTTGGAGAGCCGAGAGATTGATGTGTGGGCGGGTGCCATAGGAAAAAAAAGACATTGGGAAATGTGAGAGGCTAGGAATTAAAAGAAAATAGAGGTGTAATTTTGTAAAATGTATTTGAGAAAGGTGGGAGATACATTATTATTTTTGAGGAAAGTGTGGGGATGAGCAGGGGAAGGAACAGAATGTGAAATCCTGAACGGAAATTTCACAGTCTACAAGATGTGAGGACTTGAAAGCAAAAAACAAACTGGCCCGTTGAAGAAATCATGAATGAAAAAGGGAAAAGAATGATGAGAGAGAGATAGATGGCGAATTAACAAAAAATGTAGCGATACATTAACTGGGAGTACAGTAATTTCAGTGCAGTTCCGGAGAGGAGCTCCCTACTGTCCCCGAACTATTGTCCCCGAACGTAGCGAGTCAAACTGGAAAGTAAATTCACATGTGGCGCCTCCGACTACATATGCAGGAAGACTGAGGTCTGATTGTGTTTGGGGAGGTGAGGCGGTGTTGAGACTCTCTGCAAAATGGTACAAGACTCTATTGTGTTAGAAATTGGGCGTAAACCCGAAACGTCGACTTTCCTGCTCCTCTGATGCTGCCTGACCTGCTGTGTTCCTCCAGTTCTGCACTGTATTGACTCTGACTCCAGCATCTGCAGTTCTTACTATCTCTCCTCTCTCCCCCCGCAGTTACAAATACAATGACAACATAATTTTGAGCTTGCACCCTGATAAACGGTTTCAAAATGTTGAGACAAAATGTTCGTGTTAGATCAAGTCACAATACTTCATCGATGGGGAAAAGATACCGTCAAATGTTCACCAGCTCACGTCGCTTTTTCGCCATCCACTATAAAGCCAGCGATTGTAGTGTTAAAACCGATCTTAAAGAAACGGTTTGAAAGGTTAAAATAATGTCCTCGCTCTGAGCCACGTTCCAGTTCATTCAGCAGCATCTTTCAGATTCAAAATTGGAGAAATACTTTATCTTAAAGGCTTTAGGAGCAAGGGGGTGGGGGTGCTAATTGGGTAGAAAGACGGTAGAATTCAAGATGGGCGGAATGGCTACGTTCTGTGCTGAAGGATTCAGTGATACACAATAGAACAGCAACCACAACAAAAAATAAAGGACTGAAGATAACCAGGAACTCAATGAGTAAGAGGTGTAAGAACATAGATGGAGTTTGTCTTGTTTTATATATATATATATATAGAATTTCTGTTATTAATTTAGGCGTCGGGGTATGGTGACTTAAACACTTTTCACGGCATTTTTGTTTGTAAAATATAAGTGACACGAATTACTATTCTGTTGCATTCAACATCTTTTGTCCCCGCCCTAGCCTCACTGTCTTGTCGGACAGTGGGGGTAAGATTGGATGGAACCGTTATAAGTTTTGCCTGCGTGTGGAGGAGGTGTAGAAAGGACAGAGTACAGGATTTTTGTTGGCGGAGTAGTGTGTGGAATCAGATGTCAAAATTGCTTTCTCCATCCAGTGAAAGCGTAGTAGTCACTAGAGGGCACAGTGACTCTATGAGATACTCAATCCCCATTCTGCCATTTGGGACTCTGAATCACAGCCCGCAATATCTAACACTCGGTTCGAGTTCTGCTGGGTTAGGATAGTTCGTTAGCTGGACCGGAGTTTTGTTGCTGCCTCTGAATTGTCAGCTCCTTATTCTCGCTCCCACTGAGAGAGATAAAAAAAGTCAGAAACAGGAGACAGCGAGAGCCATGTCTGTGTTCAATCTCTTCGGGAAGAAAATGCATGAGCAAGAGAATGAGTCAAACAAAAGGAAGATATCCAGATTACTAGATTAACAGCAAAACAAAAAAGATATTTTACAATTTAAAAAAAAAACCTAAGTTTTTTGAGTTGCTATGTAAAAGCCTCAGAATGAGCTAATTGTGTTTTTTGAACTAAGACGTCTCTTGTTTGGTTTCCCTCGCATGTCTGCTGCACACGCTGGACTGCGGTCTCACTAAACTATTTGTTTAACGAGTAACAGGCGATCAGGAACTGGTTGGAAAAGTTTCTCATTCTCCCGGCTCTGCCAGCACTTAATAAAAAAAACAGATCAGGAAGATTGAAGGCTCTATCCCCCTGAGTTGGTGCCAATGGGAGGTGCTGACACTCTCATTCCCTAAACCAGGCTCTGGAAGGGTTAGTCTCAGAGAGAGAGAGTGTGTGTGTGTGTATTCAGCAATAATGACAATTGGGCTTTGGAGTAATGTGATGCCTCTATTGTTGAACAAACCTAGACTCAACACCTATAGAAGCCAGAGATACTAGAAATGCCGATGCTGG